CTTGACACATACACACACACACATACTTAACACACACACACATACTTAACACACACACACACACTTAACACACACTCATACATAACGCACTAACACTTAACACACACACACACACACACACACACACACACACACACTTAACACACTCATACATAACACACACACGCACCGATAGATATAAGAACAGCACCATCCCTTCTATTGTTAAAATAATAAACAACTCCTGATTTATGCACTGTACAGCCCTGTAAATGTATTCAATGCATATTATATCATTATGCCTAAATCAAATGTAAGTTTGTGTATTTTCAGCCACCGGCTGCAACTCTATTAATAAACCGTTTATTATTATTATTATTATTATTATTATTACACACACACCTTAAATATACTCACACTTACACTCACACTTAACACACACTTACACCTTTTATCACATACACTCACACACCTTAAACACACACGCACACACACCTTAAATATGCTCACACTTACATTCTCATTTAACACACACACACACACCTTTTATCACATACACTCACACACCTTAAACACACACACTCACAAATAACACACACGCACACATACTTAACACACACTCACACATAACACACACACACATACTTAACACACACATACACACTCACACGTAATATACACATACTTAACACACATACTCACTTTTAACACGTACACTCACACACTTAACAAACACACTCACACACTTAACACACACACTCACACACTTAACACACACACTCAAACACTTAATACACACATTTACACACTTAACACACACACTCACGCACTTAACACACACACTCACACGGCGCAGACTACTATGGCTACAACAACGCTCTCTCCACCCTGGAAATGCCATCCCACAGTGACCTCCACCACCACCACGCACTAGCAGGGTTTGGTAGTAGACTACTACACCATCCTCGTTATCGCCACTTACTACCACCTGCAGTACTCCGTCCACCTCGCGCAGTCCGCCACTACAACAAAATTCAGACCATAAGAGCCGGCACTGATAGATATAAGAATAGCACCATCCCATCTATTGTCAAAATAATAAACAGCTCCTGATTTATGTACTGTACAGCCCTGTAAATGTATTGAACGTATATTATTATGTCTAAATCACATGTAAGTTTATATATTTTCAGCCACCGGCTGCAACTCTATGATCTAGTCGTAATGCATATGGGACTAAACATTTATATTATATTGGGTAAGAGTAGCGAAACCCAATTGTCTGTTTCTTCTTTTATTGAAAAACTGTCGTTTATATAATTCCTGAGTGTAAATCAACCGTAACTTCCACTATTTATGAGTGTGAAGGGAGAGGACAGCGGCTATGTAAATAGACAGTTTAATCACGTCCTTTTGATGTGAGATTATGAGTGAGACTTCTATGAGTAGTGACCCATCGAGGGAGAACGGAATAGACACGTCGTCCTCCCTTGAGGGAAGACGGAACCATCCACCATGGCTCTCAAATAGTGTCTTCCTCTAGTCAAGGATATCAAACTACTGCCCTCTTTAGGTGGCAAGGGAGCCGGCTACTTAATGCCTTAACTCAGCATAATATGACTCAGCTTCCCATTGACACACCTTATCACCTGCACTGAACATGTCACCTCATAGCTAGTGGAAAGTTACAGGGGGTGAATCAGTATATAAATCAAATGTAATTAACCCATTTATATAATTCTTCTGTTTATGAAACAGGGGCCATTACATCTCTCGGTCACCTACCACCCGTGCTCCGCGAGGACTACACTAAATTCGCAGATAAACATCCTATACATAAGCCTAACCATGTTACAAACATATGTGTAAACACTAAGCTGGGGACTCTGAAACCATAGGTTCATCAACTACTGGGGTCCTAGACTTAAGTGTCTTACGGGCTAGTATCTCATGTACAATGGCAAAATTGGATGATTCTGACTTAAAACACAAACATTACTGCCAATATCAACACAATAGTGGAATCGTTAACTTGGGTAAGCAAATCACGGAATAACATGGCAGAAATAATCTTCGCCTACTTCGTGTTTAAGAACGCACCTTCTTAGCAATGTACAACTTTTGCTAGTGTAATCACGCTAGATGAATGAGTGTGTGGTGCTTTAGACTCTTTCTACGAAACATTCGTATTTGTGGAGAGCAATGGTACTGAGTTGTGAAGGGTTCTACACGGCATGGCTAAAAATTTACAGTCTGTGATGCTTTACTGTAGAACTATCATATTTTTAGTTTGAGATGTGTCTATGACATCATTAAAAAATGCAGTTTGAAAATTATGAACATTATTATCCTCCCTGGGATCAAAAGGAAATGTCCACATTTTCTATGTCTAAGGTTAGAAAAATTATTTAGATACAAACCAAAGAAATAACCTTATCCATCCATTTACAGGAAATTGATGAAAATTATAGTTAAAATAATTAAAGTATCAATAACTGAACAGGTAAGAAATAAATACTGGAAGTTATATTACGTCAGTATATATTAAAATAAGTGAGGCACTTATAACACATGATATGACCTACACGATGTACTATCAGTGTAAAGTTATGTCGCGAACATGTAAATGTGTGTATATATTTAATGTATGCCTAGATACTACCTAGTCCTTGTAGGCTTCATTGAGGAGTCCTTTCTAGAATTTCTTGAAAATGTGAAATTGTTGCCGCAATCCCGTAGACTTGCGAGTGTCACTCGCAGGAAACACAGCTGATTCCAAGGTCCGGTGACTAGGTCAATGTCCACGAAAATCATGAGTACAGCAAACTGCTGCTCCCTGTCAGTCAACTCAAAGACTCTGGGGTTCACTGGGTACACTAGTGCATCCACCACACCATACCTCAGAATGCTGAGACCATCTCTCATGATTAGAGATGTGTCATCACTAGGAGAGGGGTGCTGGGGTGCTGGTAACTGAAGATTCCAAGTGTTCCCTGAAGAAGGCAGTGATGGGGAGGGAAACACCGGGTAACACTGAAGTCCATTTATTAACGGATAGGAAAAATACAAGTAGTGACTAGCGTGTGCCATGCACGTCCCGCGGAGTCAGGCTGAGGCTGCCTTGCCATATGGCAGCCTCGGGGCAATGTTGCCACATAACACGTGCATTGTTGCCACGTCATTACATACATAGATGCTACTCGGCACAGTAGCTTATATACAAGGTTGCTACTTGGCACAGTAGCTTAGATACATAACCTACAGTAACTGGGGGTTACTCACGCCATACGAAAGAATTTTGTTGACAGGATGTTGATTGATGAGTAGTCACAACAACTGCAGTCACGTCCTGTCACACCCTGGGCAGTGAACGAATCATTTGCAGAAACTAATGTTCATTTCAGCTCACAGGATCGTTGCCATAATTTAGCAACTATCAATAACTCAGTTTAGGTTATAGATATCACTACAGGATATATCACTACACTTGGATATTTCATGTAACAGGTCACTGTTTTTTATTTTTATTGTTTCGTAAAACACTGATGACTTGTTATGTTGAATGTGTATATAGACCAGAATGTTGTTACCCGTTACTGATTTCTTTGATCATTGTAACAGATGTAACAGTAGTATAACGGTTTCTTTGTAGATCCCTTGCCACGTATATAATAATTCTTCTTCCTTGTAGTAGTAAATGTAACACATATAACAATATCTTTGATTGCTATTTCATATTTACGTTTACGTTCCATATATGGGTTCTTCTTCTTCACCAGTATGCCACAGTAATGGGGAGAACATAATACCTCTGCCTTTACCAACTTTGTATATGGTGAGATGACTGTTAGTGTGATTTAACAGTTATATGCAACAAGCTTCCTCTGTTGTCACCACTTGTAACAATCACTTGAGAAGCTATTTCGGATACACGTCCAGATGTAGATCAACCGTAACTTAGCGATGTAACACCGAGTGTGAAGAGAGAGGACGGCGGCTATGCAAATAGACAGTTTAATCACGTCCTTTCGATGTGAGATTATGAGTGAGACTTCTATGAGTAGTGACCCATCGAGGGAGAACGGAATAGGCACGTCGTCCTCCCTCGAGGGAAGACGGAACCATCCACGATGGCTCTTAAATAATGTCTTCCTCTAGTCAAGGATATCAAACTACTGCCCGCTTTAGGTGGCCAAGGGAGCCAGCTACTTAATGCCTTAACTCAGCATAATATGACTCAGCTTCCCATGGACACACCTTATCACGTGCACTGAACATGTCACCTCATAGCTGGTGGAAAGTTACAGGGGATGAATCAGTATATAAATCAAATGTAATTAACCCATTTTTATAATTCTTCTGCTTATGAAACAGGGGCCATTACATCTATTAATAAATCGTTTATTGATATTATTATTATTATAATTATTATTATTATTATTATTATTATTATTATTATTATTATTATTATTATTATTATTATTATTATTATTATTATTATTATTATTATTATTATTATTATTATTACTATTATTATTACAGCACACACACACATGCACCTTAAATACACTTACCCTTAATACACATACACACACTCATACTTAACATACATTCACACTTAACACACACACTGAACCTTAACACTACTACTACAACTACTTCTTTGTTGTCACTCAGAATCTAGTATGACGATCATGCAGCTATGATACAATGGTGAGTTTTGAGGTGACTAAAGAGGCCGATACAGGATCGGCAGGGTCGTCCACAGATGTTGCACATGTGGGGGGATACATTTAGTGCGGGAGGGTCGGCCATAGCGTCTTTCCGGGACTGGCGCTTGTCAGCCTCGTTATACAGTCGGGCTAACTCGAAAGTATTAACACCTTGCGTGGTGCTCCTCCGAGCGTTACGGTGTGGAGCAATCGTCACACACACACACACACACATGTACACCTCAAATACACTCACACTTAACACACACTCGCATAACTTAAATACACACACACAACTTAAATACGCTCACACTTAACACACATTCACACAGTTAACACGCCCATCCACACACTTAACACACTTATTCATACACTTAACACACTCATTCACACACTTAATACACTCACTCACACACACACACAACACACTCACACGCACTCAACACACTCACACACACTTAACACACAAACTCATTCTGCAGTTAATTTCGGGTGTGAGGTGCGCTGGAGCCGCTCGGCAATCCACGGTTCGCTCAGATGAATATTTAACCTGCAAAGAAATTAACCGATTTACAGCTTCCGATTTACTACACCGATTTACAATTACTGTTTTACTACATCGATTTAATATACCGTTCAATATTTATTTACAATATTCAAATATTGACAATAAGATTGATCGTGTGAGGATGTGGCTGATGGTATTAACAATACAAAATATTGTTCATAATATTGTTCATAACGGTCGTCCATGGCGTGCACATCTTCCGGTCTTGCTGATAGCGGCGGCAATGGGCCAGCTGCCCAAACAAAAAGTGACACTCGGGATGTGTTATTACTATTCATTTAGACATACAGAGAATTACCAATGTTGTGGGATGTTGCTTTAAGGGATTACATGAACAAAGGAAAGAAAAATGCAGCTTATGATGAGTTGTTGATTACTCTCAAGGAATTGAAGAAAGATGCAATCCGTGAGGATGTCAAAAACATCAATTCAATGAGGACAAATTATAGGAAGGAGCTAAAGAAAGTCCAGGATTCCAAGCGATCAGGCTGAGGGGTCGATGAAGCTTATGAACCAACATGTTGGATTTATGAAGAACTGAGCTTTCTTGGCGATCAAAGTGCTCTTTGCAAGAGTTTGTCCTCTGTGGTATCATCAGTAAAGGTAAGTAAATAATTGAGGCGCTTAGAACCGGAGGGGGCCTTCCGCCACGAAGCTACTTTCGAGGAAAACTCGCTCAAAGTTTACGTTCATATAAAAATCAATAACTTTTGAACCAATGAAGATATTGGAATGATTCAAATGTCAAATTGTTCCTTTCTTAATAGGAATTTGGACTATGCATGATGGGGTCAAAGAGTTACTCCCTGGCAAGATGGGGGGTAAGAGAAGACTATAAAACAATAATCTCAATTTTTTTTTGGGGGATGGCGGAAGGTCCCGCTCCGGTTCTAATAAGCACCTCATTTTTATACGGTCAATAAAATAGCCTATGACTATTGACTACATTACATTTTATAAGCACAAAATGTTTGCATTACAATAGAACAAAATACAATAAGTATTTAGGTGGATTGTCTAAAGCAAAAGCCAAGATCACAGTCACACAAGCTTTATGAGCAGACATTTTCGTCAGCACTCCTTCTAGGCCTCCTTGGTACAGACTGACAAGTTTGTCCGAAATATTGAACGTGTGAGGTGGCGGTTGTCAATAATTAAAATATTGACAGCTATCAATTTACTACACCGATTTACTATACTGTTATACCGCTCTCGGTTTATTACACCGATTTACAGCTACCGAATTACTACTCCGATTTACAACATCCGATTTACTACACCGATTTAAAGCTGCCGATATTATTACCGATTCAAATTGACGATATCACTAGTGAGTATGATAAACGGCATTATTAATGTATATAAGTAACGATATTTTTTTTAATTATTGATGAAATTTTTTTAAGTATTGACGATATTTTCTAATTATTGACGGTATTTTCTAATTATTGACGATATTTTCTAATTATTGACGATATTTTCTAATTATTGACGATATTTTCTAATTATTGACGATATTTTCTAATTATTGACGATAGTTTCTAATTATTATGCGATATTACATCTAAAATTTCGATACCATCTCAAATTATTATCGACGATATCATCAATGACTATAATTAGCGATACTACGAATGACTATAACTAAAGCGGCCGTCACACGTTCAATATTTCGAACAGTCTTGTCAGTGAGGCACCAAGTGAGTGCAGACAATAATATCGGCTCATAAAGCTGGTGTAGCTTTAATGAACGGAAGCGGGGGTGAAGGAGTGGCTTACCAAGTGACAGAAATACACTCATACAAATCTGCTGAATGAGATAAAAGTGGTGGAACCTGTGATCTTCACTATTATTTTCAAGCCGCATCTTTCTTACTTTCTTTGACAATATCTAACAACTTGTCATAAGCTGCATTTTTCTTGATTTTGTCCATATAATCCTTTGATGTGACATCCCATAACATCGGTAATTCTTTATATGTATGAATAAACCGTAACAACACATCCTGAGCGTCAATTTTTGTTTGGGTAGGTGACACAGCAAGACCAACAGTACTTGTGCACTCCATGGCGCCCGTTGCTATGCTGGACCAATATTGACAACATTAGCCTCACACGGTCAATACTTATTGGCAATATTAGAAATATTTTGAAACTCATCAATCCAGATTCCATCAGTATTTTGTATTGTCAATACCATCAATATCAACCCTACACAGTCAATTATATTGTCAATAAATATTGACTTTGTGAGGCGCCCTTAGCTATAGTGCCAATATAATTAATACAGTAGTAACTTTACTAAGACTATAGACAAGTATCGAGGTGACTATCTTAACTACTAGCATGATAATTAATGGGTATAAATAATTACGATTATCCTTACCTAGAAATAATTGATAAGAATCCTCTGTTATATAATTTATAAATATTAGAATTATCATTACCTAGGCATTATAGGCAAGAATCATATTTATAATTATTATTTTTATCTAATATACTATAGGACTAGGCGTGTGTCTGTCTGTCTGTCTGTTTGTGTGTGTGTCTGTTGTGGGCAGCCGAAACGGCACAATCGTTTTTCATCAAGCTTGGTGGAAAAATAGCAAAAAAATTCGTAGAGTGGAAAAAACCTGGTCCCATAAAGATGGTTTCTTTATGAAGCCATTAATTAACCATTTTATTTTCTCTGGAAAACAATGCAAGTCTATAGACTTGGCGCACCCTCATTCGCTGTACGCCGTCAGCCCTTGATTGCAGTTATCATACGGCTCCTTCCTCCTCCCCCCACTTTTTTTCTTACCCTACTTTTTTTTAACGCTGTTTGGATTAGTAAAGGAAGGAAGATGAGTAAATAGAAGAATAAAGAAGGGGAAACAGAAATAGTTAGAGATAACAGGTGGGGGGAGCTGAGTTTCATCATGGGTCTGGATGAGCAGTTTCAACGTAACCAGACCATTTTCGGACCTTACAGCTCCAGTGTGTACAGTATACTTATTCCTGTGACAGTACAATACAGTACAATACAGTACAATACCATACAATACCATACAAATCCATACCATACAATACAATACACAACGAACTATAAATATTTGAAAGAATAAAACATAATTATATAGACATGTAAGACTCACAACTTGATATCAGTAAGACATTAGCGATTGGAAATGTGATTAAATGTTTTGTTATTAATCCAGTGTGAAATGTATCGGTATTGGTGGTACAATCCTAATGGTCTCTAATCCTGTTGATTAGGTGAGGTTAATCTGGGTTTATTGAGATTAAAGATTAGGTGTGGGGTTTATTCTTCCTGTGTTAGTCTCAGGTACGACCCTTATTGTAACAATCACGACCATGATTATAACAACCAGGACCATGATTATAACAACCACGACCATGATTATAACAACCACAGCCATGATTATAACAACCACGACCATGATTATAACAACCACGACCATGATTATAACAACCACGACAATAATTATAACAACCACGACCATGATTATAACAACCACGACCATGATTATAACAACCACGACAATAATTATAACAACCAGGACCATGATTACAACAACCACGACCATGATTATAACAACCACGACCATGATTATAACAACCACCACCATGATTATAACAACCACGACTATGATTATAACAACTACGACCATGATTATAACAAGCACATTCATGATCATAACAACCACAACCATGATTATACCATGATTATAACAACCAGGACCAGATCATAACAATCACGACCATGATTATAACAACCAGGACCATTATAACGCGACCATGATTATAACCACAGCCATGATTATATAACCACGACCGCCAGTTATAACAACCACGAATCATGATTATAACAACCATGACCCATGATTATAACAACCACGACCATGATTATAACAACCACGACCATGATTATAACAACCACGACAATAATTATAACAACCAGGACCATGATTACAACAACCACGATCATGATTATAACAACCACGACCATGATTATAACAACCACCACGATGATTATAACAACCACGACTATGATTATAACAACTACGACCATGATTATAACAAGCACATTCATGATCATAACAACCACGACCATGATCATAACAACCACGACTATGATTATAACAACCACGACCATGATTATAACAACCACCATCATGATTATAACAACCACCACGATGATTATAACAACCACCACCATGATTATAACAACCACGACTATGATTATAACAACCACGACCATGATTATAACAAGTACAATCATGATTATAACAACCACGACCATGATTATACCATGATTATAACAACCACGACTATGATTATAACAACCACGACCATGTTTATAACAACCACCACCATGATTATAACAACCACGACCATGATTAAAACAACCATGACCATGATTATAACAACCAGGAATATGATTATAACAACCACGACCATGATAAAACAAGCACGACCATGATTATAAAAACCCCGACTATGATTATTTCACCCACGACCATGATTATAACAACCATGACCATGATTATAACAATGACGACCATGATTATAACAACCACGACCATGATTATAACAACTACCACCATGAATATAACAACCACGACAATGATTATAACAACCACGACCATGATTACAACAACCACGACCATGATTACAACAACCACGACCATGATTATAACAAGCACGATCATGATTATAACAACCACGACCATGATTATACCATGGTTATAACAACGACGACCATGATTATAACAACCACAACCATGATTATAACAACCACCACCATGATTATAACAACCACGACAATAATTATAATAACCACGACCATAATTATAACAAGCACGATCATGATTATAACAACCACGACCATGATTATAACAACCACGACCATGATTATACCATGATTATAACAACCACGACCATGATCATAACAACCACGACTATGATTATAACAACCACGACCATGATTATAACAACCACGACCAGATTATAAACAACACGACCATGACAAACACGACCATGATTATAACAACCACGACTTTGACTATAACAACCACGACCATGATTATAACAACCAGAACATGATCACAACCACAACCATGATTATAACAACCACGACCATGATTATAACAAGCACGATCATGATTATAACAACCACGACCATGATTATACCATGGTTATAACAACGACGACCAGATTATAACAACCACAACCATGATTATAACAACCACCACCATGATTATAACAACCACGACAATATTTTAATAACCACGACCATAATTATAACAAGCACGATCATGATTATAACAACCACGACCATGATTATAACAACCACGACCATGATTATACCAGATTATAACAACCACACCATGATCATAACAACCACGACTATGATTATAACAACCACGACCATGATTATAACAACCACGACCATGATTATAACAACCACCAGACAACCACGACCATGATTATAACAACCACGACTTTGACTATAACAACCACGACCATGATTATAACAACCAGGAACATGATCATAACCACGACCATGATTATAACAACCACGACCATGATTATGACAACCACGACCATGATTATAACAATCACGACCATGATTATAACAACCACAACCATGATTATAACAACCAAACCGTGATTATAACTACCACGACTATGATTATATCACCCACGACCATGATTATAACAACCACGACTATGATTATAACAACCACGACCAGGAATTATAACAACCACGACCATGATTATATCACCCACGACCATGAGTATAACAACCACGACTATGATTATAACAACCACGACCATGATTATAACAACCAGGAACATGATTATAACAACCACGACCATGATTATAACAACCACGACCATGATTATAACAACCATGACCATGATTATAACAACAACGACCATGATTATAACAACCACGACTATGATTATATCACCCACGACCATGATTATAACAACCACGACCATGATTATAACAACCAGGAATATGATTATAACAACCACGACCATGATAAAACAAACCACGACCATGATTATAAACAACCATGACCATTATTATAACAACAACGACCATGATTATAACAACCACGATTATGATTATATCACCCACGACCATGATTATAATAACCACGACTATGATTATAACAACCAAGACCATGATTATAACAACCAGGATCATGATTATAACAACCACGACCATGATTATAACAACCACGACCATGATTATAACAACCAAGACCATGATTATATCACCCACGACCATGATTATAGCAACCAGGAATATGATTATAACAACCAGGATCATGATTATAACAACCACGACCATGATTATAACAACCAGGAATATGATTATAACAACCACGACCATGATTATAACAACCACGACTATGATTATAACAACCACGACTATGATTATAACAACCACGAATATGATTATAACAACCAAGACCATGATTATAACAACCAAGACCATGATTATAACAACCACGACCATGATTATAACAACCACGACTATGATTATAAAAAACCAAGAACATGATTATAACTACCACGACTATGATAAAACAAGCACGACCATGCCATGATTATAACAACCATAACCACGATTATAACAACCACGACCATGATTATAACAACCAGGATCATGATTATAACAACCATGACATGATTATAACAACCATAAGCCAGTTATAACAACCACGACCATGATTATAACAACCATAACCATGATTATAACAACCACGACCATGATTATAACAACCAGGATCATGATTATAACAACCACGACCATGATTATAACAACCATAACCATGATTATAACAACCACGACCATGATTATAACAACCATAACCATGATTATAACAACCACGACCATGATTATAACAACCATAACCATGATTATAACAACCACGACCATGATTATAACAACCACGACCATGATTATAACAACCACAACCATGATTATAACAACCATAACCATGATTATAACAACCACGACCATGATTATAACAACCAGGTTCACGATTATAACAACCACGACCATGATTATAACAACGACCATGATTATAACAACCAGGATCATGATTATAACAACCACGACCATGTTTATAACAACTATAACCATGATTATAACAACCGACCATGATTATAACAACCAGGATCATGATTATAACGACCATAATAAAACAACCATAACCATGATTATAACAACCACGACCATGATTATAACAACCATAACCATGATTATAACAACCACGACCATGATTATAACAACCACGACCATGACAACCACGACCATGATTATAACAACCACGACCATGATTATAACAACCACGACCATGATTATTACAACCACCACCATGATTATAACAACCACGACCATCTGGAAAACCATGTTGCTGTACGCTGTCAGCCGGACGGCTGTTGCGCGCTAGCCAAGCGACGTTCGAACTTTCACGCCTTGGTAAACTGTACCACCAGACTCGCCACCGGGCACTAAGGGCCCACGGTCACTTGTATTATCACTACTGTATATAGGGTATAATTATCGTACATAATTATAATAGGTAATGATTATGTATTAATACTACTATGATGATAATTACTGTATACACATTATAGTTATGATTATATAAATAAAATAATTAAGGATCATCCATGTCATTAGTACTGATGTGGTAATTATGAATATTAATGAAGCGTTTCACCTGTCCTCACCTGTCCATTCTCACGCTTAATTATCTCATTTCCTCTTCTCTCTCAGTATCTGCAGTTAAAATTGATATCTCGTAACAGAGTACTTAAGACAACTTGGAAGTCATTACGGCATGAATATATCTCAGCAAGTGTTGCAAAACCGACCTCAGGGTACTATTGACAAAAACATTATCGTACGCTTGTCGTTTCCTATCGTTTCATATCGTGTATTATACTAACCAAACTTAGCCTCAGCCAATCTAACCTAACCGAACTGAAGACGCACAGAAATTACAGTCTTTTAATGATGTTACGTTAGGTTAAGTTAAGTTAGGTTTGCTTGGTTCGTTTTGGCTGTTTTAAAAGACTATCAAATGTCAGGAAATGCAAACCGTAAACCGTAAACTACGAGAACATAATTATATTTATGTCAACAAAATTTCTTAAAACCATGAACTCAGTGACGTAAGGAAAATACAGTGATATATGAATATTATATATTCCGAATGTTGATTAGTGATTAAAAACAAATAGTAAATTCGCGCTGGGTTGTTGTAATATGAATAAAGTCTTAATTAATTTTAATCATCATCAGTAAAAGAATCATTCCATCTAGCCCGTAATGTCGAGGTAACAACATCACCAACATCTACTTCTATTATATCATCTGGACCACTGTAAGTTATGTTCCTGCGTCTCACTTTACTGTACCTGCTGGCTGTAGTCGTAGTGTTGTGGTGTGGAGAGTAAGCCCACACTCACGGATTTGACCCTGGGTTTATGTTGCCAAGTGGAACTCTGGCTGTAGGGTCCTGGCGCCGCTGTCCTACCATAAGTGGTAGATATGGTCTCAGAGGAGGAAAAAAACAGTGTTGAGAAAAGTGTCTTCGTCCCTTCACTTTTGTCAAGAGTCGACGTTGACTTGGATTTGGTAGTGATGGGGGCGGTGTTGTAAACCTGAGACTCCACATCTGGTGGCAACAGTGGGTCACCTACTTCCTGACCTTATTTATGACGACCTCTTGAGGCGCCCTCCTGATTTTTTTTCCTCATACAATTGATGTAGCACACAAAGATAATGTTCACCGTTATAGATGTGGCCAGGATGGCACACAACAATTGGAATTTATTCTCGTCAGTCTGCCGCTCTTCGTTACACCCTCCTGTCTCCGATAAAGTAGTTTGTGGTTCGTGATCCGAAACAGTAATGAAAGGACCTGCAGTAAGGCTGGGACACGCTAGGGAGGATATCTTCACCTTGCCTGATATATCTTCCAGTGTCACGTCAGCGCCAGGGGTCAGAACCACGCCTGCCGGAGGAGTGTCATAATCGGCCACAAACTTGACTTTATTCAAAGTATTGCCGGTAGAGAGAAGAACAAGTGCTTCCTGTGAAGCTTTCTCAACCGTGCAGTTATGAAGAAGAATCCCTGCTGACTCCTTGACGTGGAGACGCTGGAGGTGTTGTATGGTGGTGCTGTGGATTTTGACGGAGACGCTATTGTGACTCCTTACCTCCCTTATGTCCACCACCCCCAGACGAGACCCTATGATCGTCATCTGACCCTCCAGGACCCCGAGGCGCACCTCCTTGATATTGGTCTCGTGGGCGTACACGCTGGTCACGGGGTCCGACAGGAGTTCGAGGGAGACGTTGCGGAGGGTGAGCTTCATCTTCGAGCAGGAAGAGGGAGATGTTAAAGGCTCTCCCTCTCTTCGAGCTTCAGCGACGTGTGTAAGGCTGAGGTCGACGCAGGTTGAGCGGTCAAGGGTGAGGTTGTGGACATGGCGGAGGAGCATCTTGTCCAGGTCTCCCTCCATCGCTGGCTGCGCCTCCACGTACACCGGCTGTAGGAGAAACAGAGGCACTTGTAGGATATTATCCTTAATGTTATAATATTTAGTGGTGCGGTGTGAGCCTTGACTTAATGCTTAATGGTATTCTGTGAGCGGATTGAGAACACATTGTTGCCAATCCAAAGAAGATGGAGAGGTGGTTGGAAAAAAAAAGAGATAAAACCATTGAATGGAAAGAAGGCAACGGAACGACGATTGGAGAGAGTAAAAACAGAAAGATAGACATAAAGACAGAAACACAAAGTGATGATGATTGAAAAGAGTGAATGGATGATGAATAGGAAGAAAGAAACAAGAAAAACGTTAAAAACCAAGAAGAGGAAGATCGATCTAGGAAAAGAGAACAAAATAAGGATTAATAGCAAAAATATAACTAACCAAGAAGGAGGAAGATAAATAACATGGTAAAAAAGTAATAGGAGGAAGGCAAATTACAACCGATGACAATAACACGTAATTGGGAACTCAATTTGCCAAGGAACTATTACTGATCCTCTTACTGTAATAGGGAGCTTAATTGCCAATTTGAGTCTACTAGGCGATGGGAATGTTGCTAATTGCGTTAGTGTTAAGATTTTCTCTGTATTTTCGGCTGTGATTTGTTTACGGAAGGAAAGATATAGCGGCTAATAATTATAATAATAATAGTAATAACAATATTAATAATAGTAATAACAAGAACAAAAATAAAATAATAATAGCACAAAAAACAACATGAGCAATAATGATAGAAACAACAAAAACAACTTGAGGGAAGAGTCGCATGGTTATACAGAACTTTGAGCAACTCATTAGAGACAGTTAGTGTGTCAGTCAGAGTAGTTAAAGTGATAATGGAAGTATTTAGGAGGTAGTTGAACAAGGGTGTGACACACACTCTCTCTTCGTGAGGTAAATTAATAGATGGATTGATGAGTGGATGGATAATGGGTGAATTGATAGATAGATAGATACGTACGTTTATAATTGTTAATTGATTGGATAGACCAATAAATAGAGGGGCAGATGGATGGATTGATGTATAGGTGGATAAATAGGTGGATTGATAGATGGATGGAAAATTTATGTTACTCAAGAATCACTGTATTTCCATCTTACATTGACATACTTAGCCCAAAGTCTCAGCAACAAGGGCACTGGGGTCACGTGTCTCACCAGCACCAGTCTCAGGACCCTGCGGCATAACCATTAATGCCTGCAGACCACTGCCAGTCTCAGGGCCCCAGGCATAACCATAGAGCTGGCATCAATGCCAGCCCCAGGGCTCCAGGCATAACCATTAATCCATTGAGACCACTGCCGCCCCAGGGCCCCAGGCATAACCATTAGAGCCTTGGAGACCACTGCCAGTTTCAGGCTATAGGCATAACCATTAGTGCCTGAGATCACTGCCAGTCTCAGGACCCCAGGCATAACCATATTAGTGCCTTGAGACCACTGCCAGCCCCAGGGCCTGAGGCATAACCACATGTTTTGGCATCACTGTCAGTCTCAGGAGTCCAGGCATAACCATTAGTGCCTTGAGACAACTGATGCTTTAGTTTACAGGCATGACCATTAGTGCTCTTGAGACCACTGCTGTCTTCAGGGCCCCAGGCATAACCACATAATGCCTGGAGACCACTGTCAGTCTCAGGAGTCCCAGGCATAACCATTAGTGCCTTGAGACAACTGCCAGCCTCAGGGCCCCAGGCATAACCATTAGTGCCTTTGAGACAACTGCCAGCCTCAGGGCCCCAGGCAAAACCATTTTGCAAGCCTTGGAGACTACTACCAGCTCCCCAGACCCCTGGCTTGGAATTCATTGGGTGCCTGGAGACCATTGCCAGTCTCAGGCCCCAGGCATAACCATTAGGTGCCTTGAGACAACTGCCAGCTTCAGGGCCCCAGGCATAACCATTAGTGCCTTATAATCACTGCTGTCTCAGGACCCCAGGCATAACCATTAGTGCCTTGAGAGCACTGCCAGTCTCAGGACTCCAGCATAACCATTAGTGCCTTTGGAGACCACTGCCAGTCTCAGGCCCCAGGTAACCATTAGTGCCTTTGAGACCACTGCCAGTCTCAGGGCCCCAGGCATAACCATTAGTGCCTTTGAGACAACCGGCCAGCCAGGCCCCAGGCATAACCATTAGTGCTCTTGAGACACTGCCAGCCCCAGGGCCCCAGGCATAATCATAATGCCTTGAGACCACTGTCAGTCTCAGGAGTCCCAGGCATAACCCCTGGTGCCTTGAAACCACTGCCAGTCTCAGGACCCCAGGCATAACTTCATTAGTGCCTTGAGACAACTGCTAGCCCTTTCAGCCCAGGCAATCCATTGGGGTGCCTGAGACCACTGCCTCAGGACCCCTGGTTTAACCATTTGTGCCCTTGAGACCACTGCCAGTCTCAGGCCCCAGGCATAACCATTAGTGCCTGGAGACCACTGCCAGTCTCAGGGCCCAGGCATAACCATATAGTGCCTTGAGAGCACTGCCAGTCTCTAGGGCCCCAGGCATAACTATTAGTGCTCTTGAGATCACTGCCAGTCTCAGGACCCCAGGTATAACCATTAGTGCCTTGAGACCACTGTTGAAGTCTCAGGGCCCCAGGCATAATCCATTAGTGCCTTGAGCATCTACTGCCAGTCTCAGGGCCCCAGGCAACCATTAGTGCCTTGAGACCACTGCCAGTTCCCAGGACCCCAGGCACCATTAGTGCTCTTGAGACCACTGCCAGTCTCAAGGCCCCAGGCATAACCATTAGTGCCTTGGTACTCACTGCCAGTCCTTCAGGGCCCCAGGACAACCATTAGTGCCTTGAGAGCACGCCAGCCCAGACCCCAGGCATGCAACCGCTAGTGCTCTTTGAGACCACTGCCAGCTCCCAGGGCCCCAGGCATAAACCATTAGTGCCTGAGACCACTGCCAGCCCCAGGACCCCAGGCATAAATCCATTAGTGCCTTTGAGACCACTGCTGCCCAGGGCCCCAAGCATAACCATTAATGCCTGAGACCACTGTCAGCCCAGGATTCCCAGGCATAACCCTAGTGCCTTGAAACCACTGCCAGTCCAGGACCCCAGGCATAACCATTGGGTGCCTTGAGAGTACCGTTAGCCCTAGGCCCCAGGCATAACCATTAGTGCCTTGAGACCACTGCTGTCTCAGGCCCCAGGCATAACCATTAATGCCTTGAGACCACTGTCGGCCCTAGGAGTCCCAGGCATAACCTTAGTGCCTTGGAAACCACTGCCAGTCTCAGGACCCCAGGCATAACCACATTAGTGCCTTGAGACCACTGCCAGTCCAGGGCCCCAGCATAACCGTCCATTAGTGCCTTGAGACCACTGCCGTCTCAGGACCCCAGGCATAACCATAGTGCCTTGGAGACCACTACCAGTCTCAGGACCCCAGGCATAACCATTAGTGCCTTTGAGACCACTACCAGTCTCAGGACCCCAGGTTTAACCATATTTGTGCTTGAGACCACTGCCAGTCTTCAGGGCCCCAGGCATAACCATTAGTGCTCTTGGAGACCACTGCCAGTCTCAGGACCCCAGGCATAAACTTATTAGTGCTCTTTGAGACCATCAAGCAGTCTTAGGGCCCTAAGTGATAAACCATTAATGCCTTGAGACCACTGTCAGTCTCAGGAGTCCCAGGCATAACCCTTAGTGCCTTGAAACCACTGCCAGTCTCAGGACCCCAGGCATAACCATTAGTGCCTTGAGACAACTGCCAGCCTCAGGGCCCCAGGCATAACCATTAGTGCCTTGAGACCACTGCCAGTCTCAGGACCCCCGGCTTAACCATTTGTGCCTTGAGACCACTGCCAGTCTCAGGGCCCCAGGCATAACCATTAGTGCCTTGAGACCACTGCCAGTCTCAGGGCCCCAGGCATAACCATTAGTGCCTTGAGACCACTGCCAGTCTCAGGGTCCCAGGCATAACCATTAGTGCCTTGAGACCACTGCCAGTCTCAGGGCCCCAGGCATAACCATTAGTGCCTTGAGACCACTGCCAGTCTCAGGGCACTAGGCATAACCATTAGTGCCTTGAGTCCACTGCCAGTCTCAGTACCCCAGGCATAACCATTAGTGCCTTGAGACCACTGTTAGTCTAAGGGTCCCAGGCATAACCATTAATGCCTTGAGACCACTGCCAGTCTCATGGCCCCAGGCATAACCATTAGTGCCTTGAGACCACTGTCAGTCTCAGGACCCCAGGCATAACCATTAGTGCCTTGAAACCACTGCCAGTCTCAGGCCCCAGGCATAACCATTAGTGCCTTGAGACCACTGCCAGTCTCAGGGCCCCAGGCATAACCATTAGTGCCTTGAAACCACTGCCAGTCTCAGGGCCCCAGGCATAACCATTAGTGCCTTGAGACCACTGCCAGTCTCAGGGCCCCAGGCATAACCATTAGTGCCTTGAGACCACTGCCAGTCTCAGGACCCCAGGCATAACCATTAGTGCCTTGAGACCACTGCCAGTCTTCTATCACTGACGTCATTATAGAAACTAAGTCAGGCTGAAAAATTTAATGATCTTGCAAACGTGTGTGTGTATATATATATATATATATATATATATATATATATATATATATATATATATATATATATATATATATATATATATATATATATATATATATATATATATATATATATATATATATATATATATATATATGAGAGAGAGTGAGATAAATATTAATATATATATATACGTAGATATACTGTAAGTGCACACTAAAGTGATATAAAACAAATCACTGTGGTTTCGTGTGTGTGTGTGTGTGTCCAGCACCTGTAATGGGTTGCTTACTTACAGATCCATTATTTCACTCTAATAGGTAGATACAGGTAAGTAAGATTGCTTCCCTTGTCACCATAACGATTTACCTTAATGAGATATTTTGCTGAGATTACCTTTAAACGTGACATACAGTAATTACTGTAGTGTTACGTGTGATTACCTGTACTACAAAAGTCCTGTTATATTT